TCACTCTTGGAGGACATTGTGGTAATGGTCAATGCCTCGCAGAAACTTCTTCGCCGTAGTCCAGACTTTCAGCTTATAACGCCTTTGACGGACGCTGTGGATGTATTGCGGGCGACGGCGTTTCGACAAAAGTGGATTGACACCGTCGCAGCAACATGCAGGAGTGCGATGGCGTATCCATTCACTGAATTTCGCTTTCTGTCACCCTTGCCTCGAGGCTATTCGACAGGAGTTTCTGTTGCCGCTGAAGGAGAGGTGGTCCAGCGATGTATACAGACGGCTGAGACCATTCAACGGATTCTTCGGGTATTTGTGAATGCTTCCAACAGTGGCCAGTGGCAGTTTCAGCAACTCCTGTACCACGGCCTGAGAAATGAAAAAAAATCCGCAGAGGGATTAGTCTCCGTCAACTACAATAGTCGTCACATCACCGTGTGTTGTGGGCTCTTTTACTATCGTGTGGAAGTACTGGATGAAGATGGGTTTGTGCTGGATACGGTGATGATTGCAGAGCGTCTTTGGGCCGTTCAACAACACGCAGACCGAAATAACCGTGAGATTTGTGAACACAAATTATTACCCGATGCGCGGGAGGATCTCTTTGCATTCTATCAACTTTTGGGCTCCCTGACAGAGATTGACGGTGTGGAATGCGCCGCAGTCTGGGAACGCTTGAAGAACACCGAACCTGCCAATGCGGCTTCTCTTGCCGACATTGACACAGGTATATTCACGGTGATTCTCCGAACTCTCGACAATAAATCCGCTTCTGCCCGTTGGTACCGAAGTGCACTTGTGCTCGAAGAGAGGGAGGAGAAGGGTGTGCTGGCGGTGCGTGGACACTCAATTTTGATCCACGCTGATGATCTTCTGGAATTCCTCATGCGGGTCCTTTGCTGGGATGATGCCGCTGGCGGCATGAGCGACAAAAACAACAACAACAACAGCAACAAAGAAGGCGAGTTCCTCGGCACCGGGAGCGTCTTCAATAGTGATGGCAAGCTCCCACCAGGCGTGGAACATTTGGATTTGTGGCTGCCATGGAAGGACCGTAAACCGATGCGACCTTATGCAGTGGTCACACCTCCTCCACATGTGTTTCCACTTTCCATTTCAAGGGAGGATAACATCCCCTTTGCATATCTTTGCATGGCCGCTGTTCTTGCGGTGCAACGGGTTTTAACTCCCTTTACCGAATTTCCAACAGTTTTGGTTGCATTTCCTAACAGAAGAGGAGATCTTTCTGCCGCCTTGATGTATTCTTATGAAGTCGAGGAATTTATTCGCTCCTTTTGCGGTGGATCTGCACTGGTGGAGCGGCGAGCAAAAAGATATTTATTCCATAAAGCTGTACAGAGCCTAGCAGGAATGATTGATGCCTGTTTTCATGAACCATACCCCTACTATTCCATGGCAACGTTGCTTCTTAAGGAGGGAAAAGCGATTGGAATAGGTACTTTTGCGGATAACGCCATTTTAGGTACGGTGGATCTTTATGTTACAGTTGGCATGTTAGGCCCAAACAAGAAGGTGCTGGATTTTGAAACAAGTTTTCTCTTACCTTCACGGTTTGCGCTCATTTGCAGTGCATCAGAAAATATCTCACATAAATCATCTTCAAAGTGCCCATCGGATGCTCATTTGATATACGCCTCGCTGAGGGGGTCTGAGGGGAATGAAGAGATGTCAATGGGAGCGCAACTAGCGGAGTGCATAACGGATAAGATTCAGGAGCTGAGATCACTGGTTCTTAACGGGAACTCAATGTAAAATTTTTATTTCTGTTGCTTCTGCCCCGTTTGGCGTTATTATTATTATTATTGTTGTTGTTGTTGTTGGGGGCTGTTGACATGTACGAAAGCTTTACCCACTACAACAGCCGTCTTTTCTTCCATGACCCGCAACAAATGCCTCCTCACAGAGAGGCCGGAAGTTTATGTGTTTCCACTACGCCACCCAATCCTGATGATTTTTTCTTTTTCTTTTTTTCCTCACTGTTTGTGTGCGAGAATTGAGGTCTTTTCAGTGGTGTTGGTTCCTTCCCTTTTAATTTTTTTATTTTTATTTTTTCCTTGTTCTGTCTCTTTTTGTGTTCTTTGCCTTTTGATTTTGCCGGTGTTGTTGCATATCCCACTAACGGCAAGGCGATTGTAGGCGGAGGAGGAGAGGGGAGCCCGTTGGGAAAGAGCGAAGGGCGGCGTGGGGGGCTTTTTGATTTGGCCATGGAGTCATCAACCCTCGCAAACGCCATACCGTTTCCAGGGGGGAAAAATATCCTTGTTGCCTTGGAGGAGTCGAATCTGTACATATACTGCGATCTTTCACAGGACTTGGGTAGAACCTCCTCCGGGAAGAACATTCTCATTGCCACCACTGGCGGCAACAAGCCACTTGGTGCTACAAATGCCTTTCTGGGGCTTAATGTGTTCTGCAATATCACAGAAGGACCCAAGCTGACGGATGAGACGACGTCAAAACTAAGTGAGGTGGAAATTATGGGGTATTACTGCATGTGGCAAGTCAAGGGACATACGCTCTGTATGATGATTGACTTTGAAAATGCTTGGGAAAAGCTGGCGACCACAGGAAATTCCGTGGTCCTTGCTTCCTCTGGAGGAAACAAGGCGGTGGGGAAAACTGGAATATTGTGCGGGCTAAACTGTCACGTGCCTTTGGGCAAGAAATTCCTCATGGAGAAGCTTTCAACAATTGTTAACAATGACTTTGTTTCAGTAGGCGATACAGTGGAGTTGAACGAAGGCTTTGTCGTTCATGTAGAAAGCGAGACACAGGTCACTTTGCATTGTGAGTATGAATACACAATGGCAACAAGGCGATTGGCGATGCCTCCAGTTGTTATTGAAGGCGAGACTAGTCTCATATTAACGTTAAGGTTTGTTGATAAAAAGTTGAGAAGTGAAGAAAAAGTGGAGCAAATGAAGACGGAATTTGCCGTTTTGTCTCCAAAGTGGAAAAACCTTTTGCTACGGTACGGGCCCAATCACAACGGAAACAATAGTAGAGGGACTGTTGACTTTTATCTTCGTTTTGACCCTACACAATTTATCGGTCGCTCGTTCTCCGGGAAATCCCTGACGGTATCGTCATCCGGTGGCTGGTGTAGTATTGGGAATGAAATCTTCATTATGTTTAATGCGCATAAGCCGGCACCCCACCTGAGTCCTGCGGAGATTAGAAGTGCAGTGCAGAATGTGCTTGACTCACGACGAGTGGAGGAGATCACCTCGCTTTCTTTGAAGAAAGTTGAGATCTTGGTGGTGACCGCGCTGAACCTGAAGGGAAGTAGCCTGGCAGATGTGAGGGGTCAGGTGAAGGAAGCAGTGAAAGCGTACATGGGCAGTTTGAAGCTGTCCGTCCCATTTAAAATGGCCAAGAAGGCCGTCAATAAAGCGTTTGCCACGCGAAAGCGAGAGGAATTTGCGACGCTTTCCCTGAAGACTCTTTTGGCGGAGGTGAGCTCGGAGCTGGGAGCGGCGCACTGGGAGGAGGAGACTTTGAAGGCGCACGTCAAGGAGGCCGTCATGCAGTGCCTCTGGGGCGATGTTAGGCGAATTCGCGGTAAAGGAGGAGGTCTCCGGGAGTGTGGCACGAGGCTGAGCGAAGGAACCACCGAAAGGTGAAGTGGAGGAATTGTGCCGCAGTCTGTGGAAGGGTAGAAAATAATATATATATATATTGAAGATGATCCCCTCAGGATGGTTTGGTTGGGTGCTGTTGCGCAACAACTATTTATTTATTTATTTATTTTTTTTGGTTGGGCTGGCGGCTTCAACGGAAAAGTTATTTATCTATTTATTTATCACTACTTTTTGTCCTTCCCACGTCTGTTTTTTTCCTGATATTTATTTATTTATTTATTTATTATTATTATTATTATTATTATTATTTGAACTGGCGGCGATAGTTGTTGTGGCGCTGCGTTTCCAAACCCCAGGGGAGGGGGCGAAAGGGGAGGACGGAAGAAGAAGCAGGCAGGCCGAAGGAAAAGGGTGAACGGGGCCAACGCGAAACTGGCAACAACCAATGCGTAGTGTTTTGGAGAAGACGGACGAGGTGTCGGATGTTCCTGATGGGAAGAATATCAAGTACATTCTTCGTGGCACTAGAATCCTGAGGCTGATAGTCAACTTGGCCTCGGAAGGAGACCGCCACGGGGTTGCGAGGGCGCGCGGTGCACACATTGAGGACCTTCCGGTGACGTTGGACCTTAAGGTGCTATCCTTTGCTATGACTACGGAGGAACGGTTCCTGGAAACGGCGGAGGCGCTGAAGGAATTGACCGACGCAGGACTGAACACCAAATGGGCTGTGGATGAAAAGTTACTTATTTTAGTGATTGATTTATCGGAAGGGCCAAAAATGAGCGGAGAGCATGCGCCAGGACAGTCATTTGTTCTGGCATCTATTAGGGCGAATTCGCAGCTGGGCAAATCGGGGTTTCATGTGTCAATGAAATTACACTCCATTGGGGGCAAGATATGGCCGTCACTGCCATCGCCACGCGCTGCGTCCGAGGTGACTGAAGATGTCTCCCCTGCCATGAATGTTGCGAGAATGTTGGACTACAGTTTATCTGTCTCGCCACCACGAATGATGATGGATATACATGGGATGCACTCTGAACTGATTAGGCTTGATGAATTCATCACTTTGGATGTATCAAAGACGCCTCTTGTGAGTCTACGTCTGAACCTAGAGGGAAAGGATGGTCAATTGTTATGCTTTACTGGGGACATTCTTTCGGGAATCGGCATTAGTTTGAAGGTGCAGGTTTATAAAAAGACAGACTCGCCACCAGCTTTGCGTCGCCCAGGGAAGATGGAGAACATACATGTCTACAAGGAGGAGCTGCCTACAGGTGAGGATTTTCTCGTTGTGGAATTTGACTCTTCCAAGGGGAACCTTGACTTGTCTGGAAAACCCAGACGCAACATTAGCAACGCCACTCGTCTCTGCGTTAACAGCCGTTACGTTGTGGATTTTACAGCCACTGGCCCCATTGATATGTTGCCAACCTTCATGGAGGTGTATCAGAGCGTCGTTAATTATCTTGGGATGACAAGAAATCCGCTGCTTACTTTGAACATGCCGGCAGTGCGGGATGCGGTAGGAAGGGAGTTCCCAAGGTGCAAAATGTCACGAGAACTGAAGAATCTTGTTTGGGAGGCCGTGCGCTTATACATTGTTAGGAACTACGTACCCCATGAACTCTATGAGGTTTCAAAGTCCTCAGTAGCTCTACGCGTCGAGTAGGAGATGGTGGTGGTGCACGAGGAGAAGAAGGTTCAATCCCCCCTCAGTTGGGTACGTGAGTTGTGGTGTTCTGAATAAACACAGTTAAGCTGAGGGGAGGGGGGGTACGGGGCGGAAATAAAACGAACTCTCCTTCGGTTGTTGTTGTTGTTTCCCCCCTTTTTTTGTGTGTGCCTGTTTTTTTTTTTTTTGCTTTTGCTTTTGCGTCAATGTGGAAGTTCATTTTTTTTCTTTCCTGAATATTTGCAGAATTAAGTCACTTCCTCTCTATAAATATTTGCGTGTTTTTTCCTGCGCACTGACATGCTGCTGCGAACTGCACTTTTTTTCTTTTTTTTTTTTTTCCTTTTCTTCCTTCCAGCTTTCATCTCCGTGGTGGATATCATCAAAAAGGGTTTACTTCTGCTCCTCAGTCGTTACCTTTTTTTTTTTTTTTTGGTTTGGCTTGTTTTGTGTTTGTGGCATTTTATTTTACTTTTTTCTGTTTTGTTTTGTACAGTTGCCGACACGACGCCTCGTTCCAATCGCTTCAGGGCAAAACACGACATAAATACATCCATCCATAAATACATACATACATACGTAAATACACACATACTTTGGGGAGGGGAGGGGTAGCATTTCACTCCCATACCCATGGTGAGACGGACAGCAGGAGCGAGCAGAGATACTGCGCAGCAGCGTCAAGGAGGCCGGCGTGGCAGCGGGGGAAGAGAAACAAGAACGCCGTCGAGTGAGAGACCCACCTTACGCTGTCCCGAGTGCCTGAATGTTTTTTTAACATGGTCAAGGCTTACAGTACACCTGAATGCATCCGCGCATTTTTCTGCGAGGTGCGTGTCGTGCGATGAACAACTACGGTGCTACGGACCCACACATCCGCATCGTCATGAAGCTGCAACGGGGCATTCTGGTTTTTTTGGTATTTTTTACATACGTGGTGACTACAGGTTAGATCACCCTCCAGTGCTTTCTCACCCGCAGTACCGTTGTGTATGTCGCGTAACCTTTATGTCCTCCTTGCAGATTGCACTTCATTTACGTGCGGATCACGGCGTGACTGAGATTCCCGACGAGGCAGTATGTCTTACGTGCAACATTCGAGGAACCCTTGCTGATTTGGCTAAGCATAGGCTGGAGCGATTAATGATTAAAGAAGATGACGTGTTTGAAGTTCCCGGGTTTTCCCCCGCCCCGTATCTTGTGCGCTGGCCAAGACTTCCACCGTGGCCTTTGCAGGTAAGACCTTATGCAGTTCTCTACCAGTGTCCTATCTGCATCAAGGTTTTTTCCTCATGGGCCGCCATGGAGAATCACATCACGTCGAATGGTATTTGCCAATGCATGTTAAATCCGGTTGGTGTCCATCCTGGAAATAGGCCGCGTGGCGCTGAAGGCCAATCTTTCTTACCAGAGGAGTTTGAAGTTCTCTTGGATACGAGTGAGCCTGAAATGTTGTCACTTATCCAAGGTTATTCACCGGAATCCGGTGGTCCTGCCCAAGAGGATGGTCTTCTGCTAGCATTTCAATGTCCAGAGGAAACCTGTTCCCGCCTTTTTTTAACGCACGGCGAACTTCTGGAGCATATGGAGCAAGAGACTCACTTTCCTATTGAACAAGAAGAGCAGGCGGAGGGGGCGGCTCTAAATCGACAGTCATGGAAGTGGAATATCTCTGCCTATGAGGTGATGTGTTCGGCGAGGCGTCTAGTTGAGGATTTTGGCTTTTCCAGCTGCCCAGTCTGCCGTCGGGTGCTAGCGCGTGGTACGGAAGTGTATCACCAACAGTTGTTTCACCCAACGGCGCAGCCTTCTTTGCCCCCTCCTTCCGCCACCACGGATCCTACTAACACCATGACGACAACGACGACCACTTACGGTGCCACAGAGACGAACCCTTGAGGAGGTTGGAGCAGCACAAAACGAAAAGGAAGGAAAAAGAAAAAAAAGAAAAAGAAAAGAAAAAAGAAAAGAAAAAAAGAATATAAAAAAAAAAAAAGAGAGAAAAACGAGGCCCAAATTCAATCAGGAAGTCCGAAAGAGAGATGGTGAGGGAGGAGGGGAGGAGGAAGGGGGATAACGGGCAGGAAAAGAAGTATAATTTCTCTGATGTGTTTTTTTTTTTTCTTCTTTTTTCCTTTTTCCTTTTCTTTGTTATTTTCATCTTCAAGTGTTACGATTGATAGTTTCCTTTTGTTTGAGGATCCTTATCTGTTTCCTGGGCATGTAACTCAGATGGAGAGAATGGCGACGGCAATGAGAGAATTAAAAAAAAAAAAAAAAAAAGAGGGAGAGAGAGAAAGAGAATAATAATAATAACAACAACAACAACACAATGCAAGTGTTTTGTCTGCGCCACGGCATACCAAATCTTCTTCCCGACTTTGAAAAGGGTTTTTTTTTTTCTTTCTTTCTTTCGTTCTTTTTCCCCTTTGCCAACCTTTATGCAATGGTCTTGGATACATATTTACTCTGCCCTACGTCGGAGAAATGGAGTGGCTGGGTCATGGTATGTAAATTCATTTATTTGTTTACATACGATGTTCTTTTCCTTTTCATTTTCCTTTTTTTTTTTTTTTTTCTTTTTCCTTCCTATTCCGTTGTTGTTGTTGTTGTTGAAGTTGGGTCATTTTTTTTCTTTTTTCTGTTTTATGTGTTTTTTGTTTATTTTGGCATTTTTTTTTTTTCCTCCCCCTTTTCCTTTTCCTTTTCCTTTTCCTTTTTTTTCTTTTTGGATCCTGTTGTTTTCTTTTTTGTTTGTTTGTTTTTTATTTGACTATATTTTCTGCTACTTTTTTTTTTTTTGTGTGTGTGTTCGTTGTGTTTCTTTGGTCACTCTCTTGTGTTGTATGTATTCCGGTGTACGCCCATGTGTCTTTTGTGTGGTGGCGGTGGAAATCGTTTTTTTTTTTTTTTTTTTTCCTTCATTGGTCGCTTTGCTGACGGCAGTCGCGTGTATATATTTACATGCGTGCGTGTAAACTGCAAAGTACATGGACCGAGGACGGTTTAAAGGGATGCAACAATATAAAAATGTGCCCGTGGGATGGTGATGTTTACGTGCGTTAAAATGTAGTTCTGTATGTGTGTGTTGCCTCTTCCGCCGCCGCTAACACCACCATCACCGCCATCATCATGCGATATATTGATTTTCTGCTTTTTTTTTTTTTTTTTGATTTTTGGACCGTCCTCTTTTAATATTTCCCCCCACCCCCCTCCCCTCTTTTCTCTCTCTCTCTCTCTCTCTCTCCTACTGCGGTATGCACATTTTTGGTCTCTCGTGGACTTGATTATTTTGGCTTGGCGAATCTCCCAGTTTTCTGCGCTAATCGTGTTGAATGTGCGATCGGGTTCCATGCGCGTGTTTTACTTGTTGCATGCTCTTCTTTTTTTTTTTTTTTTTTTTAGTGTTTTAAGAGGGGACTGGGAGGAGGAGGAGGGGAGGAGGGGAAGAGGGGTTTGACCAAATTCTTTTTTTCTTTTTTTTTCTTTTTTGTCCTTCTTTTTTACGAATTCCTCTTTTTGTGTGGTGTACGCCGCACCCCTTCCCTTTTCCCCCCCTCCGTCACTCTCCACGCTGCATCGATGTGCGCATTTAGCGTTAACAGGTGGCCGGGGGGGAAAAGGGAAGGGGTGCTTGTGGTGAGGCGGTTAGAAATTAATAGTAATTAATTATATGGTGCCACTACTAATAAACAATAAAAATTAAAATATAAAATGAGAAAAAAAAAAAAAAACCGGCTGGACGGGACGAGGGGGTTTAATTTAAATGCGCCTGCGTCTGGTGTTATTCCTCTTTCTTTTCCACCGTGTGGGCCTCTTTTCTCACTCTCTCTTACTCTCGTTGTCTGTCTGTCTGTCTGTCTGATGATGATGATGAGAGGGGGAGATTTATTTGGATGGCGGTCACCGGGCGACGTGTTTTTTTTTTTTTTTTTTTTTATTATCTACGTGCTGTTTGGTTGGCCGTGTTTATTTTTGTGTGTCTTTTTTTTGTTGTTGTTTTTTGTTTTCTCTTTCTCCAGTGCTGTCGCAGTGTACGGAATTCTCCTCTCTTCTTTCCTTTCCTTTCCCTCTTTCTCTGTGTGAATATGCGACTGCGTTTTTCTGCTGGGCGATTAAAAAATTTTTTTTTTTTTTTTTTTTCCTGTTGTCCATATATATATATATATGTGATCTTACTTGTATCCCACACCCAAAACAGAGAAATAAGTTTTATTCCTGTTTTTCTTTCTTTCCCCCCCACCCACCCTCCCCACCCCCCACCTTCCTTTTTTTTTTCTTTTTTTTCCCTTTATTTTCCCGGTTGGGATGCGTGCATGTACGTGTCTTCACCCACCCACTCCCTTTTTTTTTTTTTTTTTTTTTTTGCGTCTTTTTTTGCTTGTTGGTTGGTTGTTATGCATGTATGTGTATATATAAATATTTTTTGCTTCATTTTGCACCAAATTTTGTGTCACCCTCCCACGCTTTTTGTGTGTGGGTGCACGTGTCCTTTGACCCGGGCATGTGCCTTTGGTGCGTGTCAGTCCGACGCATGTGGGGCGTCCGACACGTTTAAAAGGAATTCGGCCCCGCACGAAGTGAAGGAAGAGGGTTCGTAATTGTGCGAAAATGCATGTTTGGGTTTTGTTTGCTTGTTTGTGCTTATGGAGGAGTGGAGCAGCTGACATGCTTGCGAGGGAGAACATGTGAGCGGCGACTGGACAAACGGATTGCATCACGCAATAGGATCCAAGCAGGACGGGATGGGGGCGGCGTAGGGAGTAGGGAGGGTGTGTGCCTGGACACCAAAGCACAGTAGCCTATGCACTGGGAAGTGGAAAAAAGTAAAAAAAAAAAAAAGGTGGGGGGATGAGTTGGTGGAGGAGGAATGATAGCATTTATTATTTGTTTATTATTTACTGTTATTGTTATTATTATTATAGTGATCTGATTTTTGTTTTGTTGTTTTTGATGATCACTTTTTTTTTTTTTTTTTTTTTGTCTTCTCTCTGGCCTGCGTCGCAGTCGGTGGTGATGATTGTTTTTGTTTTATTTTATTCATCGGTATTGTTGTTGTACTGCGGCTCCTATTCCCGCGGTACTTCTCTTCTTCCATAACGAGGAGGTTACCCGTTGTGTGTGTGTCTTTTGTGTGTGTTTTTTTTCTTCCTTCTTGGTTCTGTTGTGTTGTTTTGTTTTATTTATTTTGAATTTTGCTCTGTTTCTTTGCGTGTGTGTGTGCGTGCGTGTGCGTGTGTATTTTTATATGTATGTTTACTGTGTGCTACCCAAACTTCTGTTCTAGTAATGGGGGGTCAGGGACGTTTATCGGGGCTTTTCCAAGATGTTCTTACCACCCGCTTCGTGCATCAAATCAGTTTATGTCCTTGTTGTTGTTACCGTTTTTTTTTTTTTTCTCTCTCTCTCTCTGTTCGGTAGTTTGCCTGCATGTGCGATGCGTACATGTCTCTCTAGCTTTCTCTGTGGGAGTGTGAGGCGGAGAAGTGAGGAAAGAGGGCAGGAGTTGCTATTCAGGGCAAAAAAGCGAAAAAGAGAGATATAGGAAGAGAAGGAGTGACTCCTGGGTTTGTGTGTTTGTGTGTGTGTGTGTGGACGCAGACAACAGGGTTGCAGGCACTTTCATTGTTCCCTTGTGTTTTCCATGGCTAGCGCGATTGATTCTAAAAATTACGACAGCCCGCCACCAAAAAACACCCACACACACATAAAATGGCAAGGGCGCAGGTGCTGCTGTTCTTTGTGTGCTATTACCTTTTTATTTACATGTTTGCATGGAGGTGTGTGATCCCTTTTAGTGGTTATTTGGAGAGAATGTGCAAAATTGACTAGAGCTCAATATGATGTCGAGTTCTGGTCAACCAATCTGCTTTTTAAAATTATTGGTTACCTGCCTTTTTGTTTTCAAGGATAGCGCGTTGTGTGGTAGCGGGTGCAGCTGTTTTTCTTTTTTTTTTTGCCCCGCAAATTTTTACGCCACAGGGATCCGGTGGTTGTGGGACTTTAACGACTGCCATCACGTGAGTTTAAAACGAGCCCGGTGGTCGTAGATTGGATTATGGACTAATCGGCTTACTGGTTTGTGTGTGTTTGGGGGGTAGATGGGTGTGTGGAGGTAATTCTTTGGGCGGGGGGAATATTGGGTAATTGTGGGCTTTAAGCGTGGCCTTCTTTTGTCTTGTGTGGTGCCTCCTTCTTTCACTCTGTGCGAGGCGGAGGGGACAGGGCCTCTGCCAAAGGGGTGTGTGTGTGTGTGCATGTTGTCTGCCTCTTTTTTTTTCCTCTCTCTCTCTTTTTCTTTTTTTTTTTATGGTGACACATTTCGATTTCTCTTACATGGTAGCGTTTTGGCGACGCGGAAAATGAGTGAGCCAATTACAGCTACGGATGACATGGGCAAATCGTTACGCTTGGCCCGGCGCTACGCAATGGAGTCTAACTACGAAGTTGCAGTAGCTTTTTACACGGGGCTTGACAAGGACCTCGAGGCATTCGCGCAGTGCTCCGGAAATGCCCCGGGGCGGGCCAGATGGGTATTACTGCGGGAAAAGGTTGCAGAGGAGTGTTCACTGGTGCGCTCCTTACAAGAAGAACTGAAGGCGCTTGTGAATCCAGCAGATGCGGCGCGGCTTGAACGAGTACAAAGGGAGGCTGACAGCACTCAATTGTCACAAAAGGCATCGTCTTCAGGCGCACTTTCGGCACGTGATGTTACCCCTGTGCGTGTGACAGTCGCACAACCTGCTTGCCCCCCCGCAACGCGTGAAGGAGTGAAATTTCTTTCTTCCCTCCCTCCGACGATACCGCAGTCGTCATTGGATGGCCCTGGGGTAAGGAATGAATTGCTATATGGCGACAAGGATCGCTTTGGCCCGGTTGAGGGGCCGACTGTGAGACAACAAAGATTCAACGGTGGACAACGGGCACCTATGCGCCATAATTTATCGAATGTGGCCTCTCGAACCAAGTCCGCAGGCAGCACGTCCAATCCATCCTCTCCTCATCGCTTAACGGCCAGAGCGAGGGTGGCTACACGGCGCACCGGTAGACCAAATGGGTGTGAGCGGAAGCCTCAGGGGCAACAGGTCTCAATTCCACGCTTTCCTGCGCGTGCCGGGGAGGAGGAATTGGTTTCTCTTATTGAATCGGATATGAATGCTGGACCCATGAAGGTGTCGTGGGACGATATAGCTGGCTTAGAGGAAGCGAAGGGTCTGCTAGAGGAGG